CTTTCCCGAAACCTCTCTACACCTGAGATGGCTCCAGACTCAAGAAATTCATCTTGTGGATTGAACTCGAGTTAACTTTGCTATTTCTGAGTATAAGTGGAGTTATAAAAAAAATAAAACCAAAAATCCTACTCTCCTCTAAAACCACCATCACCATCATGGCCATCACCCACCGCCAACTCTTGCTGAACCCATTTGATAAATAAAAATCTTTGGCTTTCCCAGAATAACAAGTGACAGGTAAGTTTATAAGGAGAGGCCTATAATTGGTACTGTCTTTAGGAAAAGCACCACCACTGTACTACCTCTTAAAAAAATGACCAAAGACACGATATTTATCACCATACCTTATAGTAAAATACGTAATCATTACAAATCTCTTTCCTATCTCTAGATGTAGAAGAGGATGTTTGAAACTTTTCCTTAATCCCATAGCTTAGGACTGCAGGTTCGACTAAAGCTCCTACAGTGGCATCAACCTTTCATCTTAGACACCCTCCCATTTCATGTTCATTGCGGTAAGTTCTGTGAGTCGGTATGTTTCTGTCATGTGCGATAATGCCAAGTCACACAGATATCCAGTGGCACAAAGTACAGCAGGAGGTCCCACATGTAGGGCCTCAGGCTGTGGGTGGCTGAGGGCACAGAGCAGCATAGCAGCAGGCACATACCTGACCATTCCCTACGTCCTTGCACATGTGACGCTCTGCTCTTTCTCTGTGGTAACGATAGACGTGGGTTGCCCCTCCTTCCTCTGGCACGGATGAGTAATATTTCTGAAGAAGTAAAGTAGGTGATGTTGAGTAACCAAATAGTCTGATCGAATTTTTTAAAAATTCCAATATTTGGGCAAAAGGATGGTTAAGAAGGGAGGGAAGACAGTGAAGGTCAGCTCCCTGTCCTCCCGAAGGCTTCTGATTATGTAACAGAGCTTAGCCCATGCCCAGTGGCTAGGGAGAAGGAAGCTGCATTTGGCATTACTTTGCTGCCATCTGCTGCCTCTTCAGAGCAAGAACTCTGGCCAGCTAAAGGTGGGCAGGAGCACACCGTGCCAGGTTAAACAATTTTCACATCTTTGCCCCAATGTCAAATATACCAGCCCTTCTATCTCTTCCCTGGCAAACTCAGATGAACAGTCCCACATTTATTGTCTGAATCTCAGACAATGACACAGGAAGAGAGAGAAGGGTGCAGATTTCCTTGAGATTTAGAAACACAGCAGGAAATGAAACATAAACCCAAGAGCTGTGCAGCCCTTCTCTCCATGCCTCCCATGCGGGGGAGTGGACAAAGAGGTCTCCAGTTTAAGAATAATCCAAAGGATCAAAATATCAGTTAATTTTCTTGTCTACTTCCTTCCTCCCCCTCGAAGTTAACCTCAGTCTTGCCCTTGATCATGACTAATGATGAGGACATCACACGCCTGCTTGTTTTGAACATATGGCAGGGACAGGGTCTAAAACATGTGACTAGATTAAGAGGCTGGGGAAAGCAGTTCAGAACATGGATCTTATGAAATATTTTAGGGGGCTGCTTCAAAACTGTGGAGGCAAACCCAGAAAGCTCTTCTTTTTTTTAGAGATTTTTTTGCTATAAGGTGCATGCGCTCCCCAGAAAGACAGAGGGAGAGACAGAAAGTGAGAAATCACTCCCCCAGGGAGAATGGTCATGCCGCAATCCCTTCTCCATTCTCTTCTCAGGATTTTGGGCATGCACACACATGTGTTTGGCAAGAGTTTAAAGTTGCCAGGTCTGGGACTCAAACCAAGGTCAACTACATGAGAGTCCATCGATGTAACCATTACACCATCTCTTGGTCTCAGAACACTATTCTTAACTCTATCTGTAGGAAGCTAGGGGGTTCTGAGGCTCCATTCCACAATGCAGACTTGACCCAAAGCATAAACTGAAAGCCAAAATGAAGAACACCAGTTTGCTAAACCTCAAACCAAAGACGAATTTATTATTCCTTTTACTGAACCATGACCCAAAATGTTTATCATTTTACAGTAGAACTTCAGTTATGGATTCTTCTGAAACCACTTCACTGTATAAATAACAATATAAAAATAGTCTGTGAACCAGACCTCATTTGCTAGAATACTATTTTTTGAGTCATAATGATTTTTACAAAAAAAAAAAAAAAGATGCAGAAAGATTAGTTTTCTCAGACTTTAACATATCAAATGGAAAAGTAGGATAGAAATGTGTTCTCTTCCTTCACCCTTCTAAATCAGGATCCTTACAACCAGACAAGACACACAAAATGTTAAGTATGGAAGAGACCTGAGTCTGTTGTAATTCCTTGCAGAGATTGCCTTTCACAGAGGTGACTTCCTGGAATATTGCTGGTTTGACTCCAACATTCCCTCAAAGTACTTAAAGATGACCTAAGTCTTTGGGTTTGAAAAGATGGACTTCAAATCTTTTGTTTACACATTCCAATGGATGGTACCTAAATATCATTTAAATGCTTCATGCCACAATTTGACAATTTCTTGGTGTTCATCTCTGAATGGAAACCAATGACACAGAGTCTACAGACTGGAGAAGACTTTCAGTGATGTTCATTTTATTTACGTCTACTATCAGAGAGATAGAGGGACAGGCACCCCCAACAGGGTCCTTATGTTACAGATCTCCTCCCAGCCTCAGCACCCCAGATCATGCACTTGCATGTGCCTGCCTGGTGTGCAAGGGGAGGCCCTGGGACACCAACCCTGGACCTTCCCATGTAGATCCAGCTTCACAGAACATTGTGTCACTCCTGTGCTACAATCTGGCTCCAGAGATCTTATTTTTAAAATGGGGCAGCTAAAACGCATCATTAGCTCAGTGACCTGAAGTGCTCTTCCCAACTTCTCATTCTGGTCATATGCTTTAGGTAAGAATGAGACTAACTGGCCTACGGCTTTAAAGCCAGTGAGTGGCCAAGGATGGGCCTAATTCCTAGGAAGCTGCTTCTGCCATTAAATCACACTACCCTTGACTAGGGCACTATTTGCTCACTAGACTGAAAACCCAATGAGGGAAGAGACCTTTTCTGGTTTGTTCACTGCTGTATCCTTAATAACAATTGCAGAGTTCAGCATTCAACATATTTGTTAGATGAATTCTAACTTGGAGTTATCACCTGGTTTAAACCCTCGACTGGTTACAATTTATCTCTGAGGGCAAAGCAGGGGAAACAGTTTCCACATTTACTCTAAATTCCAGAAAGACCCACACTGTGATCCATCAGCAGCTGATCAGGAGCATGGCTTTCTTTGGTTGGCACCAACTTACCCCACACTGACTTGAAGTATAGTCCATGAACTCAGCCATTGTTTTGAAGGAAGCACTAAGGGTTGGGTGTCTTTCTTCTTTCTATGAATAAAGGGCAAGTCATAGGTGAGATCTAGAATTCCCTTCTGAAGAATGAAGCCAAGTTGGAAAACAGCCTCCTTTTTACTTTTGAAAAGGCCTCTGCAAATTTCAGTCTGTAGGGAGCTTACCGAGAAAGAACTCCACCTCTAAAAGATATGCAGTGTATCCAAGAGACAGGTTTGGGGGATTTCCTCTAACAATAGACGGTGGCATGTAATGCTTATTTTTTAAAAGTAACCAACCAGGGCCGAGCCCTATCACTCTTCTACAGCTACTCAACATCTGTCAAATGAACATAGCTTTCAAAGGACTTTTCCATTTCCGGTCCTGATACTTCAGAGCTTCCGCGAACCGCAGGATCCCTTGGGCGCTCAGTGTGGCGTCGAGGTTCCCAGCAGGGCACAGAGGAGCGAGACTGGGCTCCCTCCCCCCACCCCCGCCCAGGTACAGGAGCCCTCACCTCTCCTGGGAGAAGGCGCTGCGAGCCGGCGGCCGGCCGCCTTCCTGGGCAGGGCACCTCCCGGGAAATGACCCCAAAGCTGCTTTTGGGACGCTCCTGCGAATGCCAGTCCACTGCCCTCCTCTTGGCCCGTTCCAGCACTTCTTGGCCCAGCTTGGCCGAGCGCTGCAAGGACCGTCGGTCCACCCCGTTCAGCGCCGCGGCCGCCAAACAGTTCTCCATGTCTCCCTGGGCGGGCACACACAGACCAAAACCCTCGGATCAGCGGGAACGTCGCGACCTGGCTCCAGCCGGAGTGGGGACCCGGGCCTCGACCTCCCCAGCGACCACCGCTCCCCCTCCAATGTGCACTCCAGCGGGCGCCAAGCCAGGGGCACGGCGGTGCGCGAAAGCCCCTCCATTTCCGCCATCTACCCACCCCTCCTTAGGAAGCCCCTCACCCGGCCCTTGGCTCAAGGCGCATGCGCCGGGCGCGCTCTCGAAGCGACTGGGCGGGGCCCTACGGTCAGGCTGCCGCGGCAGGCCATTGGCGGAAGTCGGGGAGAGGCGGGGCGCCGGGGCGCGGCCTGCTCTCAGCGTGCAGTCTATGCTCCAGCCCGGCTCCTCCGCGCCGGTTGCCCAGGCAACCACTGAATGCGACGGGCAATGTGGTCCCGGGCTGCTGGGGGAGCACTTTCGTGCCTTCCCAGAAGTTCCCGGGCAGGTCCTGGTCCTCCGAGGTCTTCACCGCCTAACTTGGTAAACCCGGTGTAACATCCGGTGGTCTCCTGTTGGGCTAAAACATCGAAGGGAACAAGACAAGTGATTTCTACAAAATATACACCAGCGCCTCTTACAGCCCCGGTTTGTATTTTGGGGTATTGCTACTTTAAAACCACTTTTGTTTGCTCAGGTGATTAGGATAGTTCAAACAATGTGACTGCCAAGGTGACTGGAGCTCTGCATGGTCTGACTGGTAGAAAAATGCCAAATGGGGACGGGCTGTCGGCGCTAGAGGCGGGCCTAGGCCGCAGGGGCACCTGAGGAGTTGGAGGGTGTGGTAAACCCTCCTGTCAGCTTCCTCACCCCTAAAGTGGGGAGTATGGATTCACACCTTTTGGGAGGCCACTTGTTAGGGTTTGAGTCCGTCTTTCGATAATAATTGCGTCATATCCTAGGCATCGTTACCTTCCACGCAGCTCTGCTCGTTATCTGTAGGAGACACAGCCCAAGGTCTCAGTGCTAATTAATGACTCGGCTCCAACATCCTGCCCGCAGGAAAGCGCAGATGCTCAGGAGGGCCCGCTTCAAGGGACACTGCCTGAGCCTCACTTTATGGGGCACAAGGGAATCCTCCACCTCAGCTAGTCTCAACAGATCGCCTGATTAGCAGCAGTTCTGAGCTACTAGGTGAGTGTTAGGAGACTGTTACAACCTCCATCTGCCCTTTTGTGCATGTTTTGCTTTCGCCTCATAAAAAAAGAATAGCAGCGGAAACCTTTCATTCTCCTTGAGATGATTTTACATTTTAGGAGTATTACCAAGTTTTTCTTTCAATAAATGTTTATCAAGTGCCTCCTATAGAACATAATATTTATGTACATAGGGTCTGGAATTATCCAGTCTGGAGAGTTGGTTTCAATTCTGGCTCTGCCACTTTTTGACTGTGTGACTCTGGGCAAACATGACCTTCTTTGAGCCTCACTGTATTCCTGGGGAAATCAGTAGTACCAACTTCTCTAGATGGTGAGCTTTGTGAGGGCAGGGACATCTGAATTGTTGACTCAGTTTAAGGTGCATTCTAGTATTTTATCTGTCACAGTAAAGACTAAATATAGCTGTTGAAAGTGTGAGCTGGATTGCTGGAAGGATTTTGAGAGAGTTCTTGTAAAATGCTTAGCACAATGCCTTGCAAAGAATAAGTTCTCTGCAGATTCAGCTAGCATTACTGTGTGCCAGGCATTATTACGTGTCCCTGGAGTTATGGAGAACAGAAAGTACATCAGACCAAAGGAAAATAGAAGAGGAAATGATGCACATAAAATCTGTAATGCCAGGGACAAAGTATTATGACATACCATAAGGTTGATACAGATAAAATGCTGTGAAGCTTAGAGAGAGATTACATTCTGCTGGGAGGATCAAGAAAGGCTTTGCGTGGAAGGTAGTATTTGAGCTCAGCTGTGAAGGATGCCCTAGGAATTAATGAGAAGAGGTAGATGAAACACCTGTGGACTGCTTTCACAGTGAAGTGAGGATGAGACAGACTTTGGTCGTTTTATTACTTAGGGATTTCTTTCTTTTTTAAAAATTATTTCTTTATTTAACTTTATTTGTTATTATTATTTATTTTTTAATTTGACCAAAAAGACAGGGAGAGAGAAGGGGAAAGCAAGAAAGCAAGCTACCAGGTCCAGGACTTAAACCATGGTCTGCCATGTGGGAACCCAGTTGCCTTAACCATCATGCCAATGGCTGACCCCGTTACTTAGGGATTTCAAGACTTGCGCTCCATGATTTTTAGCTGTGTCTGTGTGATCTTAACAGATTACTTAACCATTCTATACCTGAATTTTGTCATCTATAAAAGGAGAACAATAACAGTATATACCTCAGAGAGTTGTTGGGATCAAACAAGTTTGTAAATGTAAAGTGCTTTAATAGTAGGTGGCACATAGTAAGTGTTCAACAAATACTAGGTAGTATTATTATCCTAATCGAGCTTTAGCCTGGTCTTTCAGCATGTCTTCAGTCACCCATTATTATAGCCACACCTTACCTCACTCATCTCTAGTCTATTAATTTGCAGTTGAAGGATTCTTTCTTTTTTTAAAAAAAGAATATTTTATTTAACTTTATTTATTTATTTATTTTAATTTGACCAGAGAGGACAGAGTGAAAGAGAGAGAGAGACAGAAAGTAAGAAAGCAAGTCGCCAGGTCTGGGACTCAAACCATGGTCGGCTATGTAGGAGTCCAGTGCCCTTAAACACCATGCCACCTGCTGACCCCAAAGCAGTCTTTCTTTAGTCCGGTTAACTCTTAGAAAACTTTTCCAGCTATTTCCAGTTGCTACCTTTGTTATCATAGCCTTTAAAAAAATTTTTTTTTCATTTTGTGATACTTATCCCAGACTGATTTAAATTATGTGTAGATATGGTTTATTTTCTCCCAATAGCCTAAGAAGTCCTCCAAAAGTAGAAACTAATCCTTTTTTATCCCTACATATTCTAGGGCCTATTAAGAGTGAGTACTCGGGACCAACAGTGTAATGGCTATGTTGCTGGACTTCCATGTAGTTGACCGCAGTTCGAGTCCCGGCACCGATGGCTTAAAAACATTCCCACCTGCTGACCCCAAAGCAGTCTTTCTTTAGTCCGGTTAACTCTTAGAAAACTTTTCCAGCTATTTCCAGTTGCTACCTTTGTTATCATAGCCTTTAAAAAAATTTTTTTTTCATTTTGTGATACTTATCCCAGACTGATTTAAATTATGTGTAGATATGGTTTATTTTCTCCCAATAGCCTAAGAAGTCCTCCAAAAGTAGAAACTAATCCTTTTTTATCCCTACATATTCTAGGGCCTATTAAGAGTGAGTACTCGGGACCAACAGTGTAATGGCTATGTTGCTGGACTTCCATGTAGTTGACCGCAGTTCGAGTCCCGGAACCGATGGCTTAAAATCATGCTGGGCATGTGTGTGTGTGTGCACAAGATCCCAAGAGGAGAATGGAGGAGAAGGGATTGCGGTGTGGCCATTCTCCGCCCCCCCAGAGGTGATTTCTCGCTTTCTGTCTCTTTGTCTCTCTCTGTCTTTCTGGTGAGCGCACACGCACCCTATAGCAAAAACCTCTCCCCCCAAAAAAGAGTGAGTGCTCAACAGACATTTGTTGAAATTATTTTAATTTAATTTTTAATATAAATAGTCATCTGTTAGGCTAGATATGAGTTGACTTTTTAAAAACTCTACCTACATTGGGCTAGCCCTGTGGCCTAGTGATTAAGGTAGCCAGGTCTGACATGGGTGACTATGGTTTAAATCCTAGCCCCACGATGGCTTGAAAAATACACTGGGCATGTGTGCATACATCCCCCAAATCTTGACAGGATGGAGAGATGGAGAAGGGTTGTAGTATGGCCACACCCCCTTAGGGGGTGCTTTCTCCCTCACCCTCTTCTGTCTCTATTTCTATTTCTGGTGAGTGCACACATGCCCTCTAGCAAAAACAACAACAAAACAAACAAAAACCTACGTACATGCACTTAAATGAGTAGAATGAATATTCAGTTATAACTACATATTTCCAGAATTTAACATTTAGAAATACATGAGATAGAACATTCTTGAGAGAACCAGCAGTTAGCGTAATGGCTATGTCACTGGACTCCCACGTAGTCGACCGCGGTTCGCGTCCCGGACCCAGTGGCTTAAAACATGCTGGGCGCGTGTGCGTGCGTGCCCAAGATCCCGAGAGGAGAATGGAGGAGAAGGGATTGCGGCGTGACCATCCCCCCCTGGGGGGTGATTTCTCGCTTTCTGTCTCTAGGTCTCTCTCTGTCTGGCGAGCGCACACACCCTATAGCAAAAAACTCTCCAAAAAAAAAAAAAAACAAAAAAACCTTGGAACTGATGCCTAAAGTCTGACACTAAATCTTTGCATTAATTTTTATTTTTCTATTTGTAAATGTATTTACAAGTGTACATACTTATAATTTCAGGGTTCACCCTGTAAACTATAAATTGAGAGAACCCTTTTTCTCTTAAAAAATAAAAATAAAAAAAAGATTTACTGGGAATAATGATGGAATATGACCTATCATCAGAGCCCTTGTGAATCAAATACAGTCTAAGCCAGGAACTTCTGAAAGCCATTGGTGAGACATGGAAATGGAATAATCAGTGGAGGGAGGGCAGTTGATTAGGAATGTGGTTAAATGAGTCAGAGAAATCAACTGTTGGCATGAGTCTCTTATGACCTCTCTCTTCACAAGGGTAAATTCACTATAGAAAACAGATAAACATTATTTGTATAAGTTATGTGTTCGGGGTATAGATTAGTTAGAAGACGTCTTTGTTTCTGAGATCTGAGGAAAGAGATTGGTGCTGTACTTGGGACTCTGAGGAGAAACAAGTCTAGTGACAAGCAGTATAAATTCTTTTTCTCTATATGAAGGGAGGCAAAAAAGGGTTAAACCCAAGATGCAAAAGTGGTATTATGCCAGAGTTAGACAATGATTTATACTACACATACCAGAGAACGTATAAATCATTTTATTTGACAGATGGTATTTTTATTTCTTCAGCAGACGGGGCTTTAGAATCAGTATGGCTCTGTGAAGTATCAGAAATATTACAGTCTGAATCATTACATCATTCATTTTGCCTGATTATATCAACTCATTGGATTGTTGGGGAATGAAAGAAACTTACTATCAAAATTGTCATCTTGATTATATAGATTAAAGAAAATGAATCAAACTTCTGAGAGTCAGCTTTAAGAACCTGTCAAAATGGA